TAAGAAAAGAAAGAAGGAAGAAGGAACAACGGAAGTACGGTGCTCCAATAATCGAGTTTTGAACAAGTTGCAATTGCAATCCCTTGTTCTTAGGTCACCTTCTTTAACTTTTTTACTTATAATACCTTTTTTCCTGGGTATTTGCTGTTTGAGTCCTACATCTATAGTTTGGAGCAGAATCATTACAGTTTCTCAGTCTATTAAAAATTTCATCATTATACTGTTAAAGGTCTTCCTGCATGCCTTTTTTCATTTCTTCTAGGCCACAGTGTTGTATATTAGATCGGTTTAGTCAAAGTTAGAGACGGTTTTAGCATCTATGATTTATTCCAGGGATTTTCATTTATTGACTTGCACACTTGTTTTTGTTTTCACAGTGCGAGCTATAATTTTAATTAATTAATGCCAGTGACAACCATAAAATTGGGGGCTTTAGGCACTCTTGGTGAAGTTCAGATTTGAAATTCTTGGTTGCACTTTAAATCTTTCTATATGAGAATTGAACTGAAATTTATGGGTTAAGAAAAATGATAGTTGAAAGTTAAAGCAATGTTCAACCAACACATTTCAAGGATTGATGCATCTCAAAACCCATCCCCTTGGCTATGGCAGGATATTTAACTCTCCAATCACATATACTCTAGTGGTAGAACTGAATGAATTCTTTTACGTGCTGTTTTTGGGGGAAGAAAACCATATGTACATCTCGGTATGAGGAGTCTGCAATTCTTGCTTCTGAAACGGCTTGTAAGTGTAGTGAAGAATTGGCCTGACTGGTGTTTTTTCATTTCTATATATAATCTTGTTTTTCTATAATCTCTAATTAATATTTGCCTGTCTATTTCATAGTTACCATGAAAGAAGTAGAAGCTTTGTATGATATGTTCAAGAAGTTAAGCAGTTCTATATTTGATGACGGTTCTATCCACAAGGTATCTCCATCGCAGTTAAACGAAACTGTCATTAATTTCTTCTTTGAGTTCTTTTGCATTCTGCTTTGACTTTTACCATCTCTTGAGCACTACAGGAAGAATTCTTACTTGCACTTTGTGGAAACAGAAACAAGCAAAATCTCTTTGCAAACAGAGTGAGCATCTTTTTCCAAATTATTTGTTTCTTTTCAGCACTTGTAACTGTTATTTGAATCAAAAAGATAATGGAATCTCTCATATGATGGTTCCAAATTTCTCTTCAGTTTTCCTTTGTCTTGCCAATTGCATGCTTAAACTCAAAGTTCTTATGCATTACCAATCTATTTTGGTTTCTTATCATATGATTTATCAAGCTATTCCTGTAACTTATTTGCGTGTTGCCGTGGCAACTTATTGCGGGTATTTGATTTACTTGATATACAAAGGGGAACAGACCCATAGAGTGTTATGTTGGTCTATTGTGTACGTCCATTCTTATTAATGTGTTTCCTTTTTTGGGATAACAAATTCTTTGTGTTTGCTTCAATAATAGATGTTCCAGCTCTTTGATTCTAACCATGATGGGGTCATAGAATTCACTGAGTTTGTTCTAGCTCTGAGTGTATTTCACCCTGATGCTCCTCAATCAGAAAAAGTTGCTTGTAAGAAATTCTTCTCCTTTTCTTTATGTGGATGTTCACATATATGCTTCTTCTCCTAAAATTCATTAAACCTGTTTGTCATCTGATTTTGCAGTTGCTTTTCAAATATATGATATACAGCAAACAGGCTTCATCGAGCATGGAGAGGTAAAGAGAGAATCACCATAAATTCTGCTAATTAGTTCTAGATGCACACAAAATGAAGTAACTTTGAACTCACCTGGTACAAGGTCAAGGAGATGATTTGGGCACTTCTGGATGAATCAGACTCGATTCTTTCTGATGACATTGTTGAAGCCATTGTTGATGAGGTATGGTTTCCAACATGGTAGAATAATGCATACAAGTAAATGCAGTCATTTTACAATGAAGTGTGTCCTTCACCTTTTGTACACATAGACATTTGAAGCTGTAGATTCAAAAAGGGATGGAAAAATTGATCTAGAAGAGTGGAAGGAATTTGTGGCTCACAATCCTTCTCTGATCAAGAACATGACTGTTCCATATTTGAAGTAATTCTCACATCTATGACTAAAGCAAACAATTCCTAGAATTGTTGCACAACAAAATGAATTCTGTGATCATGGGATTTTCATTCATTTCAGGGACTTTACTAGAGCTTTTCCCAGTTTTGTTCTGAGATCAGATACTGAAGTTGACACTAACAATAGTATCTGCTGAGAATACAATTGATTACAAAGCAAGGGACATGTATGGATATCCCACCAAAGATCAATCGCCAAAGAATAAGCACAAATGTTTACAATGTAAGATCTAATATATCAGTCAAGCTATATCGATGTTTGAATTTCTCATAATTGTTGTCAGCAATAGATGTTAAGGATATAGGAACAATCAGAGAGTTACTCTGGGACATCCTAGCTGAGGGATTGCAGATTTCTGCGTTCGGGAGTAACCATGCCTTCCAAGCTCATAGGAAAGCACATTTCTGTATGCAGGCTGTTCCACATGTTGATAAACAGGCTCATATAAGTTTGATTTCTATCCATTGAATAAAAGGAATTTCCTTTTTTCCTTTTTTTCAAGGTTCATCTGATGTTTAAGGCTATACAATAAGGCATAGATTCAAACT